GGTAACAGGAAGAAGACTCGACGCGTGTGGAATAAAACATCAGCGGTACTTTAATAATGATCTGAGGAGCAGCGGCGTGGCGTCACCTGCACGTGGACCCAAAGGTTTCATTTAAAAACATCAGTGACGTCACAGGAACAGTCGGTGGACTCGCACACACACCCGGGTCGTCGACGAGGTGTTTAGAAGAAAAAAATAATAATAAAGAGACAAAAAGTAGGAAAATGTCCCACAGCGGACGCCGCAGTCCTGCCAGCGCCAACACCACGCCGACGCCGCACGCTGGAGGCGGAGTCACTTCACTGTCTGAGCTGCAGTCAGACGGGGAAAAGCTGAGGAATGGTGGCGAGCGAGAATGGTGACAAGAAGAGCAGCAGCAGGTGAGCGGAGTTTCCCATGATGCTTTGCCACATCCTGACAGAACGCCACAGGCAGGAGGAGGCGGCGCGGGAACCGAAGCTCTGCCCTCGGCTCATGATTAGCACCGAACTTCGCAGGACGTCCTCTGAAATGTCCTCAGAGCCACAGCCGAGTGAGCAAACTGCGGAACGCCGAGGCAGGAAATGACCTCACAACCCGACTGACCCCTCAGCACTGGGCGACTTCAGGGGGCGGATCGCTTCCTTTGGCTCGAGTCTGCCTCACCTGCAGCAGGTGATTATAGGCCACGCCCACAAACAACTGTCACTGATCTGGATGGTAAAGTGACAATTTGCAACTTCACCTCGCTTCAGACAGGAAGTGAGGAGGGCGCACTGCAGGAAGTTGAAATTAAAGGTGGGCGGAGCTTCAGGGACTGCGGCTCCCTGGAGAAGTTTATGAAACGTTTCTGTTGATGTTTACGAGTCATTATTTCGCCGCGCGGCCCGTTCCCCGACTCACCCGGGTCGTCCGCTCGGCCTCGGCGCTGCTTTATGTCCATCAGAGGAAATGCTGCTCCGCCCCCTCCTCCTCGTGTTCAGGCGTCAGACTCGTCGCTGCTGTCGCGGCTGATCTCGATCTGCAGCGAGGGCAGGTTGTCCAGCCGACTCTTCTTCATCTTGTGGGTGAGACGCTCCTGCTTCTGTTTGATCATGGCGCCCCACATCCTCTGCAGCGTCGAGTCGTCCTCCTCGTCCCCGCGCCCGTCCTCCTCCTCCTCCTTGTCCCCCTCTCCGTCGCCACGCCTCCTCTCGCTTCTACTGCTGCCGCCGCCATCCCGGCCCGACGAGGAAGAGGAGAACAGCCCCGCCGAGCGGCCGCTCGACCTGTCGTGACGTCTGGCGGCGGCGCCGCTGCCGTCGTCGTCGCTGGAGCCGAGTCTGCTCCACAGCCCGCCTGCAGACGAGAGAGAGCGTTACAGACGCCACACAGCAAAGAGAAAAGACGACAGAGGTCGGCGTCGCCTCCGTACCCGTCTTCCTGTCTGTGGACGAGTTTGAGCAGTGGCCTCTGCTGTCCTGACTGGCCACGCCCAGTCTGCGATGCACATCTCTGGCTAGGGGAGTGTCTCTCGGGGACAGCGGCGAGGGGGAGCGGCGTCTGTCTGGAGAGTAGCGTCTTTTCCCGAGCCGCTGCCGTACGTCTGCGGAGAGCGTCAGAGTCAGAGGCCCGCCTCGCGGCAGCACAAGCAGCTGGATTTAAAGCGCTCACCTGTCTTCCCGCCGCTGACCGCCGGAGGGGGCTGTCTGTGCTGAGAGTGGCCCTGCCGCTTCTCCTCCAGCAGCTGTCGCACGTCCGTCACCTTAGAGGGCGACGAGGATTTGGTCCTGCTCTGTGATCCCGACGTTCCGATCCTGTTCCTGAACGGTGCGACACAGGCAGAGTTAGACGCAAACGTGTGAGCGCGGCGGCGAAACATTCCTGCAGGTTTAACGATCAGAGCAAAGAAAATCTTTCATGCATTCACCAGCTGCGACCACACAGGCTGCTTCCTCCTGAGGCCGCATTTGTAGGCCGGTTACACCACAGATGTAAATGTATCCAAATGTATCCCAAAATGCCTCCATTTCCCCGAATTTGAAGGGTGGGTCGGGTCCTCTACTGCCCACCATATCCCAGAATTCATAGCGCGGCCAATTCCGCTACTAAGTTTTAATATTACTCTTATTAATCTTTCTGGGTCACAAAACAAACGTTTCACATATTTTCAGGCGAGAAAGTAGCTGTGGAAACATAAACCAATAAAACTGAATAGAAAATAAAACACACACACTCGTCGTGCCTATGGTACGACA